GAAAACACTGTCTGAGGGGAAAAAAAAACAGGCAAACATCCAATATGTGGTCAGGCTTTAACTCGACCCCAGGTTTAGTGAGCTACAAAGAACCCTGGAAGCTGCAGTGACAACAGTCCCCTCTGAAGAAGAGTCAGACGGATGAACTGGGCAAGTGGAGGGTTTAACAATCCTTCCTGTTGGATTGCTGTAATTTGCAGAGTGTCTGTCCAAACCATACACTCTTTGTCCTGCTGGGATGCTGCTGCTGTTATTATTATTTTAGGGCCAAGGCAAAACATGGCCATTACAAAGCTGGAAGGGACAAACACACTCAGTTTTCAAAAGACTGCACTGTAGTTACAAATGCAGCTTTCCTCCTTTCCCAAAACATTCCAGGGAATTCTCACGAACAGCATGTAACCATAATTTTCCCACTTTTAGCTTATGCTGAAGAACCATTTTGTAGCTATAATTGTACTTGGCATTAACATAAAAGTTAAACTTATTCCTGCAAAACCTCTGTTACAAAAATTAAAATTCTGCTTCCACAAAACACAAACCCTATCATTTTATACGTAACGTTTCTAACATTTATCATCAATTCCTATGACATCATCACTAAATTGCACAAGAACCCTAAGCAAAAACTCTGGTGAGTCACTTTTCCATCAGTCAACAAACACCACGAGTGCTCCTGACACCGTTTCACTTTCAGTATGAGTTTAAAAAGGGACTTTCTCAAAACTAGTTCGGGCAAGCAATCAGGGGAATTTCCCAGAGACACTCTGAACGCCAGACCGAGCTTCTGAAAGTAAAAACATCACCCTCTAAAGCCAGTTTGCCTTATATGTGACACGAAACAGGCACAGAAAATACGACGGGTGACATGAGACGCAGAAATAAGGCTCGAGAGCCGAACTGCTGACGGAAGGAACAGGAGGCTGTCAGAACAGCTGACTAATAAGGCAGAACGCGTTAATTTTCGTGAAGAACAGGAGGAGAGCCGCCCGGCTCAGCTCTGACACATTTATCCGCGGCTAAAGCGGCGGGGTGGGGGGCAGAAGCATCGAAGCAACGAAAGGAGCAAACCCGCCAGGACGGATCCCCCCACAACCCCGCCGGCCCGGGGTGCTGGAGCATCCTCATCCCCGCCCAGCAGCACATCCCAATCCTGCCCTCCCTGCCAGGGCAGCGCCGCCGCCGCCACAAGTCACCGCTGTCGCCGCGGCAGCTCCAGCCCCGCCGCCCCGTCCCCCGGGCCCCCACCTGCCGCCGTCGGTGTGGGGAGATTCGGGCGCTCCCGCAGCTGCTGGCGGGGCTCCTTCCCGGGAGGACGGCGGGGCCGCCGTCCCTGAGGGAAAGCACCGGGAGCGGTTCCTACGGCGGCCCGGAAGGCCCGGGCAAAACGGGCACCATCACGTGGGTGAAGCCGCGCCCCGCCCGCCATGCCGTGCCCTGCCCTCACCGCGGGCTGGCCCGGGGCGCCGTGTGAGGAGTGCTGGGGGACGCCAGAATTTTTGCGCTCGTTTGGGGATGTTGTTTGGTGTTCGGCGCTTGTGCGCTCTCGAGCCTAAGTAAAAAGAAAGCAATCACAGAATCACCGAATCAGTTGGCCCGGAAAAGAGCTCTGGGGTCAGCGAGTCCGACCGCTGACCGAACACCACCGTGTCAACCGGAGCACGGCACTCGGTGCCACCTCCAGTCTTTCCTGAAACACCCCCAGGGATGGTGACTCCACCACCTCCACGGGCAGGATGGTGACTCCACTTCCCTGGGCAGCCTGTTTCAATGTCTAATCACCCTTTCTGTGAAGAAATTCTTCCTGATGTCCAGCCTAAGCCCTCCCCGGCGCGACTGAAGGCCGTGTCCTCTCGTCCTGTTGCTGAGGGGACTTACTCAACCAATTATATAAGTACACAAAGGGGAGTGCCAAGACAATGGAGCCAACCTCTTCTTGGTGGTGCCAAGCAAGAGGGAAAGAGGCAATGGGCAGAAAGTGAGAAGGAAATCCCTCCTAAACATTGGGAAGAACTTCTTTACTGTGTTAGTGGTTGCACGCTGAAACAGAGAGGATGTGGAGTCTCCCTCACTGGAGATATTCCAGAGCTGCCTGCATGCCATCCTGTGCCATCTGCTCTGGGACGACCCTGCTTGAGCAGGGGGGTTGGACCAGATGACCTACCCTTCCTACCTGACCCATTCTGTGGTTTTTGTGCTTCTGTGAGACTTAATCTGTGAAACAGGTAGCAGTTTACAAGCTCTAAGTGATGTCCCGTTGTTAGAAAGATAAATTAATTGAAAGTAGAATCACCTTGTTAAGGTTTAGGTCTCGACATGTTTCAGTGATCTCAGACCTAGAGGGATGGTGGACCTGGGGGAGGTTAACAAAGCTTGGGAAGAAGGATGTACTAATAGTGGGCACAAAGAATGTCAAATTTACGAGCCACAAGGACATTTGGCAGAATTCCCAAGCTAAGGAGGAAACTGATAAAGCCACCTTGGCGACTGTGCTGAATCAGATCCAACTGGGTTAAAAGGTAATTCTGGCAGGGGCACATCACAACCACCAACTCAAGAAACCCACCAAGTCAAAAGAAGAGAAAGACTAAGCATTTGGACTAATTACCATAAAAAGCAAGAGAGTCATTAAACAATAGAAGATAGAATGCTAATTAATAAGCGAACCATCTAACTTGTAGCCAATAAACATTAATGCCTTTGTTCACTAAAGCATATAAATGGTAAAAAGTTTTGATACTTGGTGTGCTTGATTTGTGCAATACCACTGAGCACCCAGGCTTGCACAAGCTGAAATAAATAATGAATGTCTCTCTTGGATGTGTAGTTATTGGCTTGTTGCACACCAGATAACGAACCCGATTTTGTGGACAGCAGTGGGAGCTGCTGGCCCTGGGGTGTCTGATGTCTGATGATTCCTTCCAGGGGAGTTGGAGTTGGGCAGGTGCTGAGTGCTCTGCAGCCACCCCTCAGCTGCCACCTCTCTGTGTGAGGGGCAGAGGGGGCTGAAATTCCCATCAGAGCTGACAAGAAGCACTTCCCCAATAGGCTGAGGTTCTGCAAAGTGTGCCAGGAAGGATCAATGTGGGGGTTTTGTTTGTTTGTTTTTGGGTTGGAATTTTTTGTTGTTTGTTTGTTACTTGTTTTTATTTGTTTGTTTTCTGTATCCTTTGAAATCAGCAGTGTTGAAGGTGAGATTTAGTGTGGGAGCTTCTATTTCCCCTTCGGTGGGGATCAGCAGGGTTTTTCCTGGTTATGAAGCTGTCAAAAGTCAACCTGGCTTCAGAGATAGGGCTGGAAGAATTCATGGTGTGTGTGGAAAACCTGGTTTTAAACACCACCTCCTGCTGAGGCCGTGCTCTGGTGTCACTTCTAGTCCCCATAATGTCCTGGAGTGGGAGCAGGGTATGGCTGCAGGCATTTTGCTGCACAGTGTGGGCTGCTCAATGTTGTGTTTGCATTTGAGGCCCTCAAAGGCCTGGGGCTTTTTCCTGGAATGTTTTTGGTGCCTGTTATAATTAACTCATGCAGGCTGATTCTTTCATGTGACCAGCTGTCCCAGCAGCAAAGGGATTTTATTCTAACTGCCCCAATGTGTGACTGAAGTCATTGCACAGCAGTGTTATTTGTTCTAGAATGGATGGACCTGCAGGACTGTCCTATCATTTTCCTTGGGAAGTCATACAGACTATGTGAGGGTCCCATTTCCAGCTTTGGGGATTATAAACTGGTGAACAAGACACTGAACTAGAACTTCAGGATTCCAGGCTACCCCATGTGCATAAATCAGTCATTTTTGCCTACTCATAAACTTGAGGTAAACTTGCTTTTATGGCAGCCTTGAGTTCAGTGCTTGAAACTCAGCTAAAGCTATGGTAATAGTGATGGAAGTTCCTGTCCCATTTCATTTTCACCACAGCTGCTTTAGGAAAAAGCCCATAATTTTCTCATTAGACAGTTCTGCGTGTGTAATATTCCAGTCTCTTGAAATGTGAGTATAGCAACTTTTCTCATAACTAAAACTACTCCATGTATAAATGAAGATTTACTGAAATTGCTCTCCCATAATGTCCTTGGAAATTAAATTGAAAGGCTTATCCCAAGGCAAAATGCCTTTTCTAAATAAGTTCCAGTCAGTACAAAGCACAGTCGTATAGTAGAGAAGTCTGAAGAAAGGACAAAGGGAAGGGTTTACAAAGGAGTTAGTTACTTAGTCCATGCATAAAACTGCATGGAGTTTAAAACCAAGGTTTTCAAGGTCTATGTTTAATTAAGATAACTAATTCAATCAAAGGACAATGAAGTTTTTGAAGTATTTCCTTCCAGGCAATTTCTTGTTTCATGTGGACTAATTGTTATCTAGTATTTTTTCCCTGTTATACCTATTATTCATATCTGTGTTTTATCTCTTTTTTTTGTTGTTGTTGTTTCTAATCAGTCTTTAAATACTGAACTACTGTGAAGGGGAAAAAAAGTACCTATGATGTCTCATGCCTGCCCATTATGACATGGGGAGACATTTCACTTATCCAATTTCTCTGAAGCCTATGTTTGAGAAAGAGACTTGCCTGAACAGTTGCTGCCAGAAGTGGGTGGTGTGTATCTCCTGTTTTTGTCATTGAAAAGCACCTGTAATAGAATATCTTCTTCCTCTAAAGGTCTTGCAGGAGGGGAGACCTCATTATTTTCCTAGTGAAATACTGGGTATAGATGGGAACCAACAATATGTTATTATAAAATTTATATGTAAGAAAAAAATGTGCTATTTACTAAGTCCCATTACAACAGTAGAAGTGAGCAGAGGTTTTATTAACTAATTTTAAAAATACATCAGAGAGCATCTTGAATGTCTTGAAAGAGAATGATGAAATCCTATGTTAAAAATTATAAAGATACTAAAGATTATATAGTAAGGATCTTCCTTGGCTAATAAAAGTAGTAGACCTGCAGCAGGTTGATCTATGTAGCTAGAAAGACTACTTTGCTATTTTAAGTTTTAGTCAAGTTTTTGACTGTTTTAGGTATGACTGAGTATCTTCATGGTGAGACATATAATCCAAGCTTCCTTGCTGCTTCAGAAATTCTGGGCCCTTTCTTATTAGGGAAAGGGTAAAAGTTCAGTTTGTTGGAGGCTGGCATGCATTTTGTAGAAGAAATATGCTGATGAGTCCAGACTGCTGAAGTGGCTGATTTCAGAGGAGGCTTTTGGCAGGAGCTGGCAATGTTGCAGCCGTTCTCCTCACTGAAACTGCTCAACATGCTCGAACTTCCCAGGTGACCGAGCACAGGTAATTCACTTTCTCCTCCTAATTCCTTGGATTGGGGTGTATTGCTTCCCTTTGGAATCAGTCTCTGGTTGTCAAAACTCCACGGCCTGTTCTTGCGGTGGGAAGGGTCCCAGGAGACTCCTCGTCCCGGGGCTTGCCCCAGGCGGTGAGTTCCCAGGTGGATGCGCCATAGCAAGTCGTCTTCTAAGTTGCCACCGTTGGTTGTCTCCATGGTGACCTTTCTGACAGGAACATCTCCTGTATATGACTTTGATCTTCTAACTTTTTTGTTAATTAGGACGGCATTCACCATTGATTCTGGGAGAACAGATTCCTGTTTACCTACAAGAGAAATGCATTTGTGCAAGTTACCATGGTGGAAAAAAACCCTCAAGGGTATGATTTCTGTGGCAGAAACTCATCTGAACAGTTTTAACACATGAGTTTGTCTGTGCTCTTTCTGTCTGTGGCTGAGACTAATGCAAGTTCTTTTGAGGACAGGTTAAAGAGTTCAACTATTTCGTGCTTGGTTTCGCAGTCCTGAGGACACGAAAGGTATCCTAGCTTTAGTCAAATGAAAATGGAAATTTATCAAGTCAATATTGATCTAACTGGTACTCTAAGACTCATTAACAGCACAGATTGAGAATTGACTTTCAGTAATTAATTGCTTGCAAGCAAAACTTCTTGAAGGTGAGTTAGGGACTTGCTCAGTGTGTTGGTAGGTGTTGTAATTTTAGAGGCAAAAAGTTTGTTTGATACTGTTTCAAGTTTGCATTCACAAGTTAATAATATTGTGTCCACTTCTAGATGAAGTTGTGAATGTCTTCTTTTTCATAATGAGGAATCATTACATATAGGCTTGTAGTTTCTTATTTTACTGCAATTTTATTATTACAATCAATATAATTGGTGAGAATAGCTTATCACACTAGTGTTGTCAGAATGATTGCTTAGAGAAATCTGCTTACTCCATGAATGGTAGAGAGTTGCTGTAACAGTGGGAGAGAATTCTGGTCTCTTTTTTATTCTCCTATGCCTGTAGCTTAATTTCTAAAGTGGTATGAAAGTTACTTTTAGGAATGTATAAGATATTGGGGATAGAATTGCTAATGCTACTTTAATTACATGCAACAGTCATCAAATTACTGGACAGGACTGTTTTTTTGTGTCTTGAAAATGAATAGAAGCTGAACCATTACACTGATGATAATCAGTTGATGCTGCAACTACTAATGAAATATACCTCAGCTGGGACAAATATAGTTTAAAGTAGGAGCTGTGCAGAATGCTGGCCTTATTTAAAGGGCTGAGTTATAGGTACTGTGGTACAGTATCAGTTATGAAGCATAGTAAAGAGAAAAAAAGTAGACATAGAAGAGTGCTGATTGTATTCTGAAAGCGTCTCTGAACAGCTGTTTTAAAAGGATTGTAACCCTGAATTTGAAATGAAGCAAGTTTGAATAGGACGCTTCCTTTACAAAAACCCAACAGCACAACCTCTCCTTTACAGCTGCCTTTCGTGCCATCTTTACAAAGAGGTATTTGAAGATGTCAGACCCAGCTGATTTACTGGCAGTAAATGAACCTGTACAGCAGTGCTTTGGCTAAGGAGGGGCTTTCACTGCTGCCTCTGGTTGTTGCTGAAGCAACAACCCCAGCATAATATCACAGAACTTTTTCTGCTCCGTGGGTTGGCCGTGTAGGATTGATCTGATAAGAGCTGCTTTGCAGCATGGCTGGGAGGGAGAACTGTGTGAGCCCACAGCTGCTCTCCTGCTGTGTTAGAGGGAGAAAGGAGACTAAAGCACGTGCAGAGCTCTGAGATGCAGGTATGTTTGTGCATCTGGCTGTACAGTGAAGTGTGCTAACAGACTTTTTTAGGGTAACACCACTTGGAGAGATAAGAACACACAGTTCTGCATCATGAAACAGTGAGAATCAAAGTTATGACTGGACTTTATCCAAGAAATAATGCTGACCTTGGGTGGCTACACAAAGGTCCACTTGCAAAACAGAGCCCTGTGTGTTCTGCCGAACAGCACAGTAGAGCACCAAGCTATGAAAATCAGGGATTGTTCTCCATGTGGGAGAGAAAAAGCAAGAGAGAAGGGAACTGAGAGACTGAGGTGAAGCAGCTTTGCACGTTCTTGTGGATGTTAACTGTGCTCTTGGCTGAACTGGCATTGATAGGCAATGTCAGTTTTTACCTAGAACGTTATGAACTGGTCATCAGAAGAATTATGATCTGGCTTCAGCTGATCAAAGAGTTCAAAGTAATGATTCTAGTCAAATTTTAATAGTCTGCACTGGGTTTGAGTTCCAGTTTGATTTGATTCCTTGCTTGGCTACAGGTGCAGCACACAAAATTGAGCACTGACCTTGGATAGAAATGGAAGAGTCCTGAACCACTGAGTGTTGAATCAACACACATTCAGCACTCTCCAAACTTCTTAAAAAGCTGCATCAGACAGACCTTTCTGTCTTTCCCCCCTCCCCGCCCGTAAATTGTGTATTATAGCCTTGTTGCAGAGTTGTTTACCCTCTGGACTTTTTCATATGCTGCCATCATCAACAGATACTTTTAAGGTTCCGGAGTGGCAAAAGTTAATCTTATTACAAGTTAGCTTGGGAAATACTTGGAAGATATTTCTGCACTCAGTGCCCCAGTGTTTATTCTGTTGTGACTGCATGTGCTGAATGCTCCCATTTAATTCCTAAAGTAAATACTGTTTTTCAGCTTCTTAGCCAATAAATAATGAATACACTGCTGTATTATCTCTTAGCTGGTGACTTTCAAATCTTATCGTGCTCTTTGTTCTCAAATAATCAGGAATGGGCAGAAACATGAATGTGGCTGTGTGTACTGGAGACGAAACTGAACAAAGTCATTTTCACTTGACCTCTTGGTTACTAACACATCCATCAAAAACCTGGGAAAGTTAAGGGTCTTAAGTTCTGTTTAAAAGTCCATGATTTATGGCACAGAGATAGTGACATACAGGGATAAAAGTCCTGAAGAAAACTTGGAATTATCATTCCAACTGTCATGCAATAAACCTGCAGTGCTCAAAATCCCTGTGGTATCATAAAAATAAAGCTGGCCTGTGAGGAAGGAACGATGCAGGGTTTTATTAGAACAAAGACCTTTGGCATGGATTTTTAAGACCATGAGTGACTGAAGGTGCTCTCCTTCCATGAGGTTTTTTGTGTCAGGCCTTTGAGGTTTGTGTGTATGTGTGGGGTTGTGGTGGTGCTGTTGTGGTGCCTTTCCCAGCCTAGCCATAATGTTACCCTCTAGGTGGGAAACAATTTGTTGTCAGTACAAAACACTGATACACACATGGACTGCCTTCTGGTACTAGCTGGGATTTTAGCATAGTGTAGGGCATTAGACTCTCCTGACATGGCAGTGTTCATCTCTGCTTGGCATATTCTTGAAAACCCATGCCTATAAGAGGTTCCAAGTGCTTCTAAACTATAGGAACTCAGCATAACATCCCCCCACCCCCAACCTTCATCTGTTTCTAACAGTGACATGAATTCTTTCCACACAGCTTGTTTACAGATAGAAGTTCAGTGCAGTAGGTTATGTGGTTTTGTGAACGTTTTGGGCTATGTGCATAAAACTATTTGTATGTGGATTTTCAGCACTAATAAATTTCAAACTTCCCAGAAACTGTGCAGTCCTACTTTTTCACATCTTTATCTTCAAATGGCCGTGCAAAAAATCTGCTCTGAATACATTCATTATATCTGAAGCTTCATTTGAATTAATCTGAATAAACCTTCTGCTTCTTTTTTAACTAACTTATATTTTTTGCTACACCTGATTAGGTGGGCTGTTTTGTCTTCAAGTTAACTGCCTTTTCATACCTGATAAAATAAGCTTGTATGTATTTTTTTCTTCCTCCAAGAGATTTTAATTCTTTTAACGTGAGAATTGCAAAACATATGGATGAAAGAATATTTAAAAAGTGAATTTGTTGTATAGTTCATAATTAGGTGTTTTTTCAATTGTTTTGATCACAAAGTCTGACACAGCCAAATTCTAGAACTGCTGAAAAATGTAGAGGAAAATATAAAGAATGAAATAACCTAAGTTTTGTGCTTGTTAAGATTGTGAGAGGTGAATGAAGCATGTTTTTCATATTGCAATTAAATTCAGAACATAACTTCATTAATTGGCTTAGTATTCTCAATATCAATTTAACTTGGAAAGCTGATGAAAATATATAAATGTAGTATTTTAAGCACTAGTTTAACTGAATGTTAAAACATTTGAAAGTTTCTTACATAAAATCTGTCTGACATGGCAGTGATACATACATGTTGTTACTTGTTTTTCTATTTATGCACTTTCCAAGCAATATGCACTGAAAATACTTTCAAAACAGGACCTTTGGTTCAAAGCTTGTATTTTAGTTACCCACTATAACCTTTAATATAACTTTTTTTTAACAAAGACCCAACTTGTGCTTGTTACTTGCTATTTGCTGTTGCTTCCCGTAGTGTTTCTTTACAGAGGTACAGAAGGGAAAAAGAGACAGATGACCCAGAATTGCAGGTTCTGATGAAAACATTCAAGAGAGCAGAAATGTTACAGAATACATTGCACAAATAACACTGAGCACAGACGTGAAGTATGTGGATTCCGTAAGAGCTACCATCTATGTTTAGAATTTTACTTTACTGACATAAAACCTGTAAAACCTTACCTCAAATACATTCATCTGTTTCAAATACAAGTTGGTGTTTCACTGACACAGAGGTAATAGATGTAGATTGACATATACATAAAACCACCTTGAGCGAAATGAGTAAAACCCCAAAATGACAGAAAAAGAATCCACTTTTACCTCTCTGGAAGATGAACATCAAAAGAACAAAGCCAGGAGTTACTAAAGCTTTAAAGAAATAGTCTTTACATTACACATGCACTTTTTCCTATCAGTTTAAGCATACCTGTTTTATACACAATAATGTCTGGCTGCAGTTTTTGCTTCTGCTTTATATGGTCATACTGCTCCTCAAGTCTGCCTACATCCATCTCGGCGAGCTGCTTGCCACGGTCTGAAACCTGTGGCTCTGAGGTGTGAGTCACTGAAAAAATACCAGTCATGTATTTGTAAACCTTCACCATCTGTTCCAACAAGGAAGAAAAAGTCGTGCAGAAGCAGGACACTTCCTTCATTGTGTTGGCAAGAAAGCAAAATCAAGTATGAAGCATCTGAAATCTTCCTAAGTGAACAAGCAACTTTCTTCCAAGCACGGCGACTTGTGTCAGAAGTTGCCTGGTCTGTGGGTGTCAGTCAGCTTTGTTTTCATGCAGTGTGTCTGGAGCTCCTGCATGCAGCGTTCATGATCAGGACTGGATAGATGGATTTAATGTTTACCTAAGGTTGTAAGCACGTGAACCTTTGCCAAGGAAAACAGTGAAATACAAAACCTCCTTGAACACAGTCAAGTGCAGAAAGGGGTGGGTAATACTGGTTTATGTAGCAATGTTAATTCTTAAAGGGATGCTGTCGAGGAGGCATCCCCAGGATAGTAATTCCACCTGGGAAATATTTTTCCATGTTTATTTCCAGGTGTTTTGTGTCTTTTCCCGTCCCCTGTCCCCTCCTTAACTTTCACCCAGTTTCACTCTAGCTGATACTTCTTGGGGCAATGAGGTGGGAGGAGATTATTTGCTGTATGTTAATACTTTTGTGCTTATTGCTCCCATTTAAAGAATATGCAAAAGTATTCAGGCCTCGATGCAGAGTCAGAAGAGTATGTGCCAATGACACTTGGAATTGGGAGGCTGGAGACAGGAACACCTTACTCTGACTCATTTAGGATTTCTGCTGTTCTATAAAATGAAATAAATTACAGAAACACTAATTTTGTTACTGAGAGCTGAGCATACCATTCAAATACATGGTAAGCCACATTTTAAAACTTATTGTACATGTAACAGTATTATATAAAAATGAGGTAAAAATTTAAAAAAATACATGGCTTTTGATTATATCAGATAAAGTATGAAACTATGCCTGGACTTTGTACTGCAAGTTTTCGTCCCTGAAATAGGTTTATCAAGGGCCTATGTGAAAAAAATAATGCAGTTAAACTGTAGTTTTAACACAATTGTCATCTGCTCAGTTTCATGCACTGACACACTTTTGGTCAGAGTTTAAAGGGACTTTCTCAAAACTAGTTTGAGTAAACTAGTTAGGGATATGTCCCACGAGCCACTTTGAATGCAAAACTGAGCTTTTGTAACTAAAATATCATACTCTAAAGCCCGTTTGCCTTATATGTGACATAAACCAAGCAGAGAAATAAGGCTCAAAAGCCAAGTGTTGATGGAAGTAAAGGCATTGTCAGAAGGGTCGGCTAATAAAGCACAGCACGTTAATTTTTCCTAAAGAAAAGTAGGAATGCCACCTGGCACGGCTCTGACACACCAGGGACTGCAGCCTCGAGGGGAACCTTGGGCACTCTCGCAGCTTATCCCTGAGTTCTTTCCCGGGAGGAAGGCGAGGTCCGCTGTCCCCGAGGGAAGGATCCGGGAACAGCCGGGCGTGGGCTGTGGCATCACAGCAGCGGCGGGTTCCGATGGAATGCGGCGGGCGGGGAGGAACACGGGAGCCAGGCGAGGCTCATCACGATAGACAATGTGATGTATGCTCGGAGGAAGCGAAATAACATTGTATTCCATGGGGGTTTTTTTGTTTGTTTGTTTATGTTTTTTGTGTGTGTTTTTTGTTTGTTTTGGTTTGGTTTTTTTGTGGGTGGCTCTATGCAAGCATCTCTGGACATAGTATCCTCCATCATGCACAACAAAATTCAGTGGAATTATAAGAAAGATTAATGGTTTAAAGTTGCTTTGGGTGCAAAGAAAATGGTAGTTTCTCTTAGAAATGGGTAACACTCCTTTCACTTTGATAGTAGGCTTTTATTTATCTGTTGGTTATTTATTTATATTTATTTATATTTATTTATACATTGGTCTGTTTCCAAGATATCTTGTGAGGGGATGGTTTATCTTTCCAGCTGAGAAGGGTTTTTGTCTAGAAGAACATAAACCACGGGTGTGAGACTGGCAATAATCACTGACCTATGAGAACATGCACAGGTTCGTGGTGCAGTTGTGGCACAAGAGAAGATCATAGAATCATAGAATGTTAAGGGTTTGGAAGGATCATCTCGTGCCAACCTCTCCTGCCATGGGCAGGGACACTTCCCACTAGACCAGGTTGCTCAAGGCCTTACCCAACCTGGCCTTGAACACTGCCAGGGTTGGGGCATCCACAGCCTCCCTGGGCAACCTGTTCCAGTGTTTAACCACCATTACAGTAAAGAATTTCTTCCTAATATCCAGCCTAGACTTCCCCTCTTTCAATTTGTACCCATTACTCTTTGTCCTGTCACTACAGGTCCTGGCAAAGAGTCCCTCTACAGCTTCCCTGTAGGCCCCCTTCAGAGACTGGAAGGTTGCTATGAGGTCTCCATGCAGTGTTCTCTTCTCTGAGAAAGATGTTAAACCTTCTATGAAAAAACAGTTGTACTATTACAGTTATATCTGTGTAGTTGAAATGGTTATGTCCCCTTTGTGCACACACTGTTGTAACAGCAGAAAGATGTGCTACACTGCTGGTAAGGATGGTGTGTTGTTAGATGGCATCAGGGAGATGAGTAATTAATTCAGACTTTTGTTTTTAAATGAAACACTAAGGATAGATAGGAAGCAACAATATGTTATTATAAAATTTATATATAAGAAAAAGTTGGTATGCACTAAGACCCATTACAATAACAGAAATGAGCAGAGGTTTTATTAATTGATTTAAAAAATTATAAAGATACTAAAGATTACATAATAAGGATATTCCTTGGCTAATAAGAGTAGTAGACCCACAGCAGGTTGATCTGTGTAACTAGAAAGACTACTTTGCTATTTTAAGTTTCAGTCAAGTTTTTCACTAAGTTTTAGGTATTACTGAATGTCTTCATCGTGAGACATATAATCCAAACCTCCTTACTGCTTCAGAAATTCTGGGCCCTTTCTTACTAGAGAAAAAGTAAAACTTCAGTTTGTTGTAGGCTGGCATGCATTTTGTAGAAGAAATATGCTGATGAGTCCAAACTGCTGAAGTGGCTGATTTCAGAGGAGGCTTTTGGCAGGAGCTGGCAATGTTGCAGCCGTTCTCCTCACTGGAACTGCTCAGTAGGCTTGAACTTCCCAGGTGACTGAGCGCAAATAGTTCACTTGTTCCTTCTTATTCCTCAGGTTGCATCAGAAATGATTGATGGAATCAGGGGGTGACAAGACTCTGGTTATGCAGTGCATAGAGCTCTGGTGAGGCTCAGCAGGCTCTCATGTGTAAGTCTGCAGTAATTGACTTTTTAATAATTACTCTTGCCTTCCCACTATGCTTGTGTCGTACAAATCGTGTTGCCTACCTCAACTGCAGTCTTTTCCTGCCTCAGCCAGGGAAAGAATGGTAAACAAAATACTCTGTCAGACACTGTAGGTACTCTTCCAGTTGCCTTCTCTCTCCCCTAGATAAAGCACGTTTGAGTTTTTCTGATGTGTCATGGCTTTAGTAGATCTACTTTGCTACTCTTCCTTCAGTTGAGACAAACACCTGGTGCTCTGTAGCAAGCAGTACCTCAGGAATTGCCTTGTTTGTCCAGTGCTCTCAGTTGTTGTCACATGGAGTCTGCCTTTGGACCTTCAGGCAGTTGGTTTACATGTTGGGACAGGAGATTTTATTAACTTCATTACAGTTTGAGCTGGCATTCAATACAAACATTATTAATGGTCATAAAGTTACCCAACCTTATTAAAATTCCAGTCACACTTTTTGACTTGCTGACCTCCTGTGAATGTGACTTGTGCAACCTGACTGTGTGTGGCAGAAGGAATTTCAAGCATAGCATCCCTTGACCCTGAAATGTAGGCTCTGTCTTCAAATATGTGCACTTCACTTCTCATTGGAAGAGCATTTAATGTATAATGAGTTGGTATTTGATCAGAAATTATTGTTAATTATTTGTGCTGTGCAATTCCCTCGGAATCATGGAAAGGCCATCACACATAGTTACACAAATGGTTCCCAAGCAGTTGCATGGGAAGGCAACAAAACCAGAAACGGGGTAAAGGAACCAAATGCCTGGTGAAATGTAGGGAATGAGTCCAGGTGGTACAGCAGAGCTGGAACTGGGAACAGGATTAGTTTTTGTTTTGCTGAGCCAATCCTGTATACATGGCCTTTTGTTTCCTTTTCACAGAGAGCTTGTGAACAGAGCATCTTCGTAGAATTGTTAGGGCTGGCAAAGACCTTTATGATCAAGTCCAACTGTCAACCCAGCACTACCATGCTGACCATTAAATCACATCCTCAAGTGCGATATCCACACATTTTTTTAACACTTCCAGGGATCTCTTCCCTGTGAAGTCTGTTCCAGTGAAAATTTTTTTCCTGATATTTAATCTAAACCTGCCCTGGTGCAACTCAAGGCCATTTTCTCTCACTGTGTCACTTGGAGAAGAGATCGACCCCACCTTACGGTGACCTCTTTTGAGGCAGTTGTAGAGAGCAATAAGGTCCCCCCTGAGCCTTCTTTTTTTGCAGGCTAAACACCCCCACCTACTGCAGCTGCTCCTCATCAGACTTGTGCTCCAGACCCTTCCCCAGCTCTGCTGCCCTTCTCTGCCCAGCACCTCAATGTCTTGCTTGTAGTGAGGGACCCAAAACTGAACACAGGATTTGAGGTGCAGCTGAATCAGCCTCTATAGGTGTGTACATGGGTTTGTCAGCACGTGTGTTTGTGTGTGTACACTTTACTATCAAGGTATGAGTGTGTGTGTGTATGTATATATATATATATATACACATATATACTTGTGTGTGTTTTGTGAATAATTTGCAACCATGATATAATTAATGAAATGGATTGCAGGTCTAATATACATGACATCACAAAGAGCACGAGGTTAATCGTGGTTTTGCTGTGTAGCGAGCTGGTATAGCTAATCCTTATTATGCCACTGACATAAACTTGAAAATGGATTGTCCGTGAGTTACGTTTTTATACCGTAGTGGAACAACTTCCTTTGTGCCCCTAGCCTGGTTAGGTATTGCTAGTAAATAAAAATAAATTTGTATTGTCATACCTGCACACCAAATTGTGATTTCTCTT